CCTGCTTATATCCCATTAGAATCAGGCACAAAGAGATCATCTAATCTTTATTTTTAAAAAAAAAATCTTTATTTAGATTTATGTAATCTAATGCCTATATTTGTGTGTTTCTTGATGGACTTACCTAGATTTTCCTACACAGAGATTCTCCTGTGGTATTTATATCAGATTATCCTGTTGTATTATTTATATCACCCTTTAGAGTTTCCATTAACACCAAAACATTCAACCTTGAGCAGTTACAGTAACTGCACAGGACCTGGAAAGGAAAGCTCTCTATTTATAGTTTAGTAAATCAGAAACCTACATGGTAACGCTTCTTGTAATTCAACAATGGACTTTTAATAATGTAAACAGAGGAATTAAATCTAAAATAGCATTGATTTTAGTTGAAGGGAAAATATGTAAAGATGATGAAGTCAATGAAAACCTGCCTGTTCACACTAGGTAGACCTTATTTTTGAAAAAATAAAAAATAAAAAATTGTATGACATTCTTTTTCCGAGTGGAGTGTCATACTCATTATTGTCCTTTTTTATTCACTAGTGTTGTTGTTAATGCAAGTTCTCTGTCTGTCTTCACAGTTCAGCAGCTTGTTTAGCAGATCACTACAGATGCTCCAGGTTTGGCTCAGAGATGTTTTCCAAACAGGGTCATTACTGGTGGGTATCAAGATCCTGTCATCTGTGCAGTGGGCTCCCAGTCTTACTCTTGTGCCCATGTCTGCCCATGGTTCTGGGCAGTTGTTCTTTCTTGGTTCCAGCAGTGCTGCCTGGGAACAGCACTGGTTCTGCTCATGGATTTCTGGAGACTCAGAGCTGCCCAGCACCTGGAAGTACTTGTTTGCCCGCCCCCTGCTCTGCTTTGTCAGCTCTCTTCAATCTGCCTGTGGTTGTTGGCTCATATTCATCCTTAAAAGCAAGATGATTCTCACCAAAAATTTTTACTGAAGTAGCTGAGGGAGCACTCACAAGGTCCCTTCCTTTGCCAGAGCTGAAGCAGTGGCAAACAATACAAATGGAGTGACAGGAGCTGGAATGGTACAGCTGTTTGCAAAGTGAATTTCTGTGTGTGTGTATATATATATATATATATGCATATATAGGCATGTGCATTTTATGATCTGATAATTTCTCCTTCAGAAGAAAAATGGTTCACAGCCTGCAGGGAGCAGACTCACCTCTGTTATCTAATAAAGGGGCTGTTTATGCCACAGTCAGTGAAAAACAACGTCCCTTTCTTTAAAGAAGAGCTCTTTGGAGCCAGTCCACCATGACTTTGTCTTGGGTTAAGGAGCTTATTCTTTTTCTTTAACCCAAGACAAAGACTTCCCTGAATGAGTCACCCCACACCCCAATGTCGTTCTTACTGGATGTCTGAAGTATGAAAGAGGATTGAGTTTTTTATTTTTAACATACCCATTTCCTTTGGCTGCTCTGTGAGTTGAGAAACCTTCATTTGTGATTCCAAAGCTGTAGGGTAACTAGTTTCCTAAAATTCTCCAAAGGCAAGAGATTTGCAGTCATACTTTATTATATGTTTATAACTATACTCGGGAAAACTTTGCATGACCCAGAAATGTTTGCCAATATTTAAGGGGATTTGCTGAACATCGAATGGATCTCTCTTACCATTTAATGATGATTTTTTGCACTCCAGATACTGCTTTTTATCTTGGTTCTTGAAATAAGACATCTTTTCTCTAGTTCACCTCTTCTGTAGTATGCATAAACACTTACTTACTGTTGGAATTACTGATTACTGAATGATTACATTTCTGAGTTGGATGGATTCAGTAATAACTCATTGTAACATCAGATTAAGTCCTGCTTTTCATACTTTGTTCTAAGAGTATTTGGTATACTTATTTTGGCAGTACACTAAAACCTAAGTCAGTGTTACTTAACATATAGCATATCCTTGATACATGCTGGTCCATTAAACAAAGGAATGTGTTCATAACCTCTTCCATAGACAAATTATAGAAGTATTTGAGTGTCTGCATTTGAAACATTCCTTTGCTGTAGCCCACATAGGACACTGAGTTCCTCTGACCACACTCCCATGTGGAATCTGGGTAGCTGTGCTGCCATGGCAAACCCTGTACTTGCTTTAAGAAATAAGCTTGATCTTGAACTTCAACAAATGAAAGGTGAAATTTTTTTCCTGTGCTTACAGTCCTTATCTTTGGCCTGCAAAAGGAGAAACAACCAAGAAATGCTGAAAGCAGGAAAATCTGCTGCATTCCAAAGGTATTATTGCTAAGAACCCAAATATGTGAAACACAGACAGTTGAATAGCCAAGGGCATCTTTTTGTAACTCACATAACTCCTAATTATTTCAAATGTCTTTATTTTTCTATTATTAGGAGCTTGACTTGTGTAAAATATTGTGAGATGAAAATATTGTTTCTACTGAATAACTACAGGATGTATAGAATTACCTAAAAAATATTATTACTTTGATGAAAATGTGTACTAGCCATAACTATATATTGAGACATGTAAGGTCTTATCATACATATAAAGAAACTTAAATTTTTCTAGCAGATGGGATATGTAATTCTATTTCCATTCCTTTCCCAACAGACATTTTCTCATTCAGTGCAGGCACATTGCATTGGTGTCCTTGTCAGACTTTCACTTTCTCAAAGGTGTTTAGGCAATTCTGATGTCAAAGGGAATTTGTTACCTAAAATATCACAGAGGATCTGGGCATAAACTCCTCAGAAAAAAAAACCAAAAAAAACCAGGATGAAGCACATTTCAATTCCACTACATTTGGTGGCATTTCCCCATGTACAACTAGCATAATTTGGACTGATAGTTATTTGCATAGTTGCTTAAAAAAAAACTTGGGAGGGAAGAAAAAAGAAAGCAGAGGTGAAGAAAAGCAGAGAACATGAGCAAAGAGTCCTGTAATTCCAGAGGAAAGTGAAGTCAATTATTTGAGGCCTGGAGAAAACTGAAGAAGGAACAGGAAGAATCCCTAGATGTGGTAAAGAAAAGTTCTTACAAGACTAAAAACAAAATTTCAAATGTTAGCAATTACTTTCAAGGTGTTATCAGCCATCGCCGGTGTGTTGTCAAGGGGAGAAAAAGGCATTGCAGCATCAAAGGAAACAAGGAATCTAATGAAGAAAGAAATTAAAGGAGTAATTTGCATCTATTTGGTGGAACAATCTTCAGAGGCACTTTTGTTAATTAGAAGGTTTGAGCTGCACACATTAGAGTACTGAGAGGCTGGTGGAAGTCTCCAGACATGTTTCAAGGCAGCAATTTTTGTGGTCACAGAACATCTCTATAGCATCACAATTTATCAGAGAATTGAGTTATTTTTCCTTCATTGCTTGAAATTTGACACTCAGAAGGAAAAATGACCAGCTGCTTGCAGGAGCCTGTTTCTCTGAGCAAACATAATACTTAAAAGCTTGTATTTTCTTCCAGGACTTTTGATATTCCTTCTATCCACTGGGGTGTGACTATGAGTGTCCCTAGTCTTAATTGTGACTCTTTGTTCATCTTGTATTGTGGGTTGTATTAATTTCTTATTATAGTTTCGTGAGTGTTTAGCGGTCTAGATATCTGTTCTGAAAAAAGTAAATAAATAAAATATACATAAAGGGAGAAAGAGACTAATTCCCTGCTCCACTAAAATTAATGAAGACAGAACAGCAATCAAATTTAGCATACTTTCTGGTAGAGTTCAAGGCTTCAGATGTTAGTCAGGTGGACTTTTTTTATCATTAGCATCTAAAATTTCAAATGACAGGAGATGAGTTCTTAAATCCATGTATATTTTATGAATCAAGAAAAAGTCTTGATTTATCTAGACTTCTTTACGTATAACAGATTTGAATAAAACCAAGTTTGTTATTCTATAGACTTTTTTTACCAATAGACATATAACTTCATCCTTTATATAGGAACTCCCTCAGTCTGAATGCCTTTCCCTACCTTTCTACCTCATATTTCCTTCATCTGGGGCATTCTCTGGTCCCCACATTCTCCATTCTCTGGCTGTGTCTCCTACTTCAGAATCTAACATGTCCCTGCCCCTTTCCTGTGCACCCAGCTCTGTTCCCTTGGTGGATAATTGCCTGCAACCACTTCACCAAAAAACAACGCTTCCCGTCTGGTCTCATAGCCTTGCTGGAGTCAAATTGATTCAGAGCCTAAAATTATCCCTGTGGTCAACTCCACTGACATAAATACAGGGGATTTAACTCTGTGTTTTCCTTTCAAACACGATTTTTAAAAATTTCAGTCTTATGTATGTTTTCAAAACATTTTCATTGAAAAGTATGAAAGCAAGAACTCATTCATTCCTTTTGAGTAATACCTATTCTTTGCACCCAGCAGCTGTTGCAAATATTAAAATCTTCTTTTAAAATCAAAACAACTCACTGCTTTCACAGCTCACTTGCTTTTCCCCTCATTACCGATCTTTTGCTGTAACCATGGATCTCTCTGTAATGACGTCTTTTGTGTGTACTAAACTTTGTATTGCTGAAAAAGCATTGACCAAACTTGCCTGGAAGTCTCAGATGAAGATTGCTTAAAGGATGTGGCTGAAACAAAAAGGTGTTTCTACTATTCCATAAATAAATCCTCCTAAGTGTAAATTGTGACCATTCCTCTCTCCATCTGAACAATTCAGATTTTTCAGAGAGCTGCTTTTATGTAAGATTAGAGAGCTGTCTCCTTGACATGATGCTCTGCTTCTCTTCACCATTAGTTGGGCGTTAGTTGTTCTGGCTGTAAATAGACAGGCACAGATGGTACCACGACTCTCCGAGCCTCCACACATCTTGCACTGCAAGGATTTTTGTTATTCTTGCTATGTCTCTAGCAGCTCCTACTCTTTCCTAACAGTTTGTTGAGAAGAAAAATGGAAAGCTAAAGAACAATCAGTCCCTTTCCTCTCTAGGATTGCTGAAATCTTTAGACAGGACAGCAGTATTAATTTTTACTTTTTGTTTTTGCTAGGGAAACCCAGCCATGGGCTCATCAATGTAGCAAAAATTCTGCCATCTTCCTTAGGTGAAATCGGTCATTCCCAAGACAGCTGAGATGCCTGAGACAGACTAGATGTCCCAAAAGCATTAAATTGTGAGACTCAAGTGGTACATCCTCCCTCAGTTCCCTGCAGCTCTGATCATCACAGCTGAAGCACCATGGCAGATAAAAGAGAAGCTGATATCTCGAAAGACTGCCTCAGTGCACAGGAACAGTGTTTGCAGGAAAACAAGTTGGAACAATTAGCAATGCTGAATTGGGAGAGAGCGTGGATAAGAAGGATGTGACAGATTCATACTCCCCGCTCCTCATGTCTGTCATGGAGAAGGTAAAATGGGTGCTGCTCATTAGCCTTTCACATAACAGAAGAACAACATGTTAACTTAAAGGCAACAAATTTGAAATCTAATCAAATTTGAAATGATAAGAGGAAATCAGAACAGTTAACCTGATAGAATAACTATTGAAACCAAGAACTTAGTGAAGCTATAATAAGGACTGGATGTTTCTATGTACTAATAAAGTATCAATTTAATATTTTCTCTGTCCCATTTAATGTAAGGTTATAACTTTCTGTGTCTCTAGAGAAGTCAGTTTACTAACAAAAAGAAAAGAAGTAGTCTTTCTTTCTATGATCAGGCAAATCTGTTTGTTTACTACTTGGTTTTTCATCATCTTCTACAGTCTTGGGGAATGGAAGAATCAGTGACATGGTAATGGGTGGACTGTTCACCTGCTCCTTGACAACAATTCCTGCATTTTCACCTATGAAGCTACTAACAAGAAGAAAACGGATAAAGGTTAGTCAGTGTGTTCATGAATGACTCATCTCACACCTGGGCCTCATATTTTTGTTTAAATCTGTGTAACATTTTTGGGGGGACTAAGATTTTTCAGACATGCTAATGCCACTGGAGTAGACAGAGGAGTAACTGTAGAGCTGTAGATGGAGAGCAAATTTCTCTTTTTCCACTCTTCTTCCTCCACAGAAAGATATTGAAATAGCAGCAATGCAGCTGTGAGCTTGGTGTTGTAAAATGCAGATCTACTAGGTTTCATGGCCAGGGGATGGTTTTCTCCCTCTTCATCCACCTCTTTGATATGACTGAAAACTCATCTACTCATCCACTCAGCCACTCTGTAATGATACAGCTTATCTTTATACTGTGGCAAGACAAAAAAGCCCTCCTTTCACAGGTAGGCATGCCCATGTACACCAGCCATGGTCTCTGGCAGGTCCTCAGAGACCTGTGGGCAAGCAGGAGGGGTGTCAGAGCCTGGACCATCACACACAGGGCTCCTCTTACCTGCTGCTCTGCCTTGCTCAGGGGAATTCATCTACATCTGTACTTATCACCCCATCAAAGCCCTACCTTAATCAAGACGTCAATATCCTCCTACAGGGACAGGCTTGCAGGAGAGGAGAGTATGATGAAAATACTGAGAGAAGAAACATCACAGCTCACCTCTTTTTAGAGAAAGGGTTTTCTGAGAACAGTCCATCAAAAGGGCTAGACACCTAAGTGATAGATGAGTTTCCTAGAATTTCAGTGCTTCGACAAGAAAAGCAAAAAGCACCTTAATATTGAATAGACACTGTGACTGTCATGTAGAAATAAATCTATGACAATCTGCAGAGGAAGCAGTTGAAGGCATGAAAAGCCTGATGAGATTATAAATAATATCATCTATTGCATTGCACCATGCTCACACAATTTGTGTTTCCTCAGCTACTCAGTATAGACTGCTATCAGTTCACCCCTTATCTGCTGCAGACTTTTGCAATCTCTTGGCTCCCCCACAAACGAGACAATTTGGATACTGACATGTAGAAATAGGAGGTGTCTCATAGCAGATGCCAATGTAAGTGGCAAATCTGGGTGAAATCCTGACTGCGTGAATGGCTCAGGATATGCCAGCATGTGTTGCAAAAGGCAAGCAGAGTTGCAGTTCTTTGAAAACGTGAAGACAAATAAATATACAATTCACTTGATGGAATCATCAAGTGGTGATGACTTTGAAGTCTGTGGAGCAGTTTTCCTGGTAGTTGGCTAGTTCAGGCTTTTCTTTATCCTGGAGAGTGTGCAGGCATTCCCAGAAAAGCTTGCAGACGTCCTGCTGCAGAATGCAGGATATGGTTGATTCATCCATTCTTGGTGCCTTCCATTTAAAACCATCTGCCTTCCTAGAACATGTGCCCTCGCTGGACACATGGTTAGGATTGATACAGAACTGCAAAGGGAAATTTATGGGCATTGGGACTACGTGTCACCTAAAAGCAATGCTCTCAGACCTGTGAGACACTCATGTGCTCTCTTGCTTGGCTGTCTATCTCACCAGCACACCCCAGCTTGCCGTTCATAGTTGGACAAAAAGCCTGGCATCTACCATGCAGCACTGCAATGGGCTGAGCCCCTAAGGAGGTTTTCTTTGGAGGCTGCTGAGAGTCTTTAATAATATTCCCGATTTTTTTTCTGATTCCTGCCAACCAAACACCATGTCCTGACGATGAATAGAGCAGTTAGAGCCAGGTCTGCGTCTGCCACTGAAACTCTAATGCTTTGGCGCTGAAGCGAGCTGCTTGCAGGAGTTGCTAGGTAACTGTAACCTGCTCACAGCTTATGTGAGCCAGCGAGATACTTCTGATGATGTCATGATTCAGATTTGTATTTCATCTCTGAAAAGTTTTCTCTCTGTTTCTACAAGAACAGGTGTTTGGGGAAGTTCTTCAGTGAGGCAGAACTTCTCTGGCCCAGCATGCTTATGCAGCTTAATTTCACTCTTACAAACACTATAATAAAGCAAAATTGACCATGGCTTCTCAAAGTGTGATTTTAGGGGAGAACTTATAACTGTTCAGACCTCTTTCATCTTCTAGACACCAATTCAGTGGAAACACAGATATCTTCACTGACTACTCTGCAGCCTGCATGTGAACAAAATGATGGCTTACTTTCTGTTATTAGTAAAATATAACAGGAGTTTTGTGATTATTCTTTTCAAGAACAAAAAAAAATCCAAATATTATGTGCAAGATACAGACTAAAGCTGGGAGTTATGATCCTTCCAATACTAACCACATGCCTAACTTTAATATTTATTACTAAGGAGCATCTAGTTATGGCAATATGTGATATTACAAGCGTGTATAGCATACCAGTGACAATGGGAAAAGCTTCTCCATCATGATGCTCTGAGCATGTTGTGGTGAGTATAGGATTGATGAACAGAAGACCCCAGAACTGTGGGAGATCTAACAAGCTGGGACTTGAGAGACTTCAGCCCTAAACCTGTGCTGAACAAAGACTGCAAAATGTGTATGCTTCCTCACTCCTAAACCAAGAGATGTGCTCCTACAGCATGGTGGGTCTGAAGGCTTTTTAGTGGCTTTCTGACCGTATGGGAAGTCAGGGGGTGAAGATTAATCGTGTGTGTGTGTGTGTTTGACACCCACTGGGGCTCTACTCATTTCTCATTTCTCCTGGTCTCTTCCTCCAGTCTATCAGTGAGAAACCTCTGCTTCTCCCTGAAACACATCATTTTCTTAGATACAACCCAATCCTCTTGGGTTAGAGAGTGTTCTGTAATCTCTGAACAGGCTGGTTTGCCAGGAGCAGTAGCTGGTGCAGGCAAGGAGACATCAAACCCTTTGTTTCCTGTCCTCTGCTTGTAACACACATCCTCTGTGAGCCACTGCCCTCATCCCTGACACTCCTAACTCTATCTATTGGTTTTTCTTTCCCTGTTTGCCTGTCTGATTTGATCTTTTTCTTTATTTCTGTCTCTTGCTGCCATTCTCCTCATGTGTGCTGCTCTTCCCCATGTGTGCACATCCCTAATCAGTGCAGGGCTCAGGTCCTAGGCGTGTGCTGTGCCAGGCTGCTGTGACAATTAGCTAACATTTGGAGAGTGCTGTCTCCAGCATGCTATTTTAAGATATGCAGTCTTGATCACATATACGGGTCTACCTGGCAGAAAAGGAACTGAGACAGAGCATACAGCTGACATTCCCTCGGCTCTGGATGAGTGCCAGTGTTAAATGTACTGTTTAGCACAGAGAAGACCATTTTCTGCATGGTCTAGCAGGCACTCATTAGGACAGGCAGAGCCCATTGGGAAGGATGATATATCTCACTGTCACCAAGTGCCCTGGTATCTTCACCAATCCAGGGTGATCAGACAAGAACCCCTCCTCGCAGATGAACCACAGGAACCTATTCTTTGTGTCATTTCCACAGAAGTCACTGGGATTATTTGCATAAATGTGCATTTTTCTCCCCTGCTTCATGGTATGATACCTCTCCCAAAACATAATACATTTACTGGCAAAAGAGCAGAGCAGACCTGCCAGTCCTCTAGTAACTGTCCTGTTCTTCTGCCTGCAATTTTTTAACTAGTTGAAAGGATTAAATAAATGGGAACGATTAAAATTGCTGATCCCATTGGGAGAGTTTTCTTTTCATGCATATTTCACATACTGAGGCATTCTGCTAGATCTAATTTACAACCAAGAGTCTATGAAGAATTAAGTGACTGAGATTCCTCATTCTTCACATTTTCATTTTGTTTTCTGCTTGATTCCCTGTGTATTCTGATGTTCAAACCAGAGATTAACACACACTTCACAAAGCTTCTTGATATTTTATAGAAAGTACCCAAGGTTTTTGTATAGCTGCCCAGAAGTGGAAGAGTAGAGGGCTCCAGAGCTTAACAAAATGATCAAATATATAACTTGAGCCATGTCAGTTTGCATATCATTAAAACTTGGAACTAAAGATTTGATGATTTTCCAAAATGGAGTGAATGAAAACGAGTGTGAGAAGTGATTTTCCAAAGTGAAGTAAATGAAGACGAGTGTAAGAAGTGAACCAAAATGAGGATTAAAGTATATCCTTCTCTTAATTGCCCAACATAATCCTCTCATTTATAAATGGCTTAAGTGCCAGGTAAAAGGAAGTCAATTACCTAGAAAACTAGTAATCATTTCACTAGTTATCTGAAAAAACCAGCACCTTCCAGTAACACAGTATAATATTTATGAGTTACGTCTAGCAGTGATACTTCCTCAAGGCAGATGATCAGACTATACATAAATCAGACAGGAGTACTTTAGGAAGGTGTCATTAAAGTCCACCTTTAAAATCTCACAACTTTCCCATGCTATTATTTTGGGGAATGAAGTTTTTCAGTGCTTAATTCCTTCCCAAAGATGATTCCTTTTAGATGTTCATAATCATTCTAGCTTCATATCTACATTTGAAGAACACATTATATAAGCATACTGTTTTGTATGATGAACAGGGGTATCTGCTGATGAAAAAGTATGGTGATACAGGATAAGGAGCAGATTTAAGAGGGTACTTGTAATTCAACAAATGTTGCAGACGAACAACAAATGCTTCACTATACAAGCTGATAATGGCAATCTGAGACATCCATGGGGGGAAACATTTTTTATTGAAAACCATTTTTTAATGCTATTTTGTTTTGAATAATCTGATTTTTCTAACAAGAGGTATGTTAAAAAATATTCATTAAAATACCACAGAAATTATAAGCAGTGTTTGAGTACCCTTTCTTGGGATTAAGGTTTTGAAATATTTCTCCCACGGTTTTTATTCTGTTCTCATTTCATTGTTCAGAGACAGCTTGCAGAAACAGTTATAATTTATTATGCTCTAAAAAAAACAGCTTACCCAGATGAAGACATATTAAGATCAGCTGGTCTTTAATAGTTCAATTTCTGCTTGCATTGTAACAGTTAGTTTCGGCTTTCAGGAAAAAACATGGTTACCCTAGCCCATCAGGAATGAGTTTCAGCATTTCTGTGGCAGCTGTCCCCCAGTGCTGAGGACTCAAATCAGGTCCCCTTGTGCATGGAGCAGTTCAGCCCTGCTCTGTTCAGTTATGACAAGGAGTCTGGAAGATGATAAAAGGTGCTTCTCCCCAGCCTGCATGGATACTTTACACTTCCAGAAAAATTATTCTGTGTGATTAAAACAAAAAACTAGGTGCCCTCTATCTCAGCTCCAAAGGTTATTCTGGCTGTTTATTCAACAGCAAAGCTCTTCCAACAAAGCTTTTCCAAAGGGGTAGCTATCCTCCAGCATAAATTCCTACAGGCAGCTGAAAAGCAGTGACAACTTGGAGATCCCCCTGAAGATGCCAGCAGACACTGCACAGGGTTCAGGCTTGCGCTCTCAAGCACCCTCCACAAAGACAGGGTGGGCATGCCACGCTGCTGCCCTGCTCCTCCAGGAAGGTGCCACTGCTGAAGTTGGCTACAGCCTCTGTGGAAAATTATCATCAGTTGCATTTTATTTTTATACCCTGAACTCCTATCTTTACACTAATAAGGGAACAGCAGCCTCTAATCTCTCTTCTAAATCCTGAGCCTGGTATGGCAACCTCTTGGGCATCATGGATGCTATCCTTAACTCACCAATGAGACACAAATGTCAGCAATTGTGGCATTAGTTGTCTTTTTGGTCATAAGGTCTTTTTTTGCTGCCTATCTAATTTTCTCAGTAGCAGTTGGGTCACAAGAGTCAGAGAAAAACTCTGCAGTCACTTCTCTTGCTGAAGGCTGAGATTCACTGACCAGCAGCATGTAGAGAGTTGTTTGGGGCTGCTTTGACATTAAAGGTTTCATTTCCAGAGATTGCCACACAATGATGCAAACTCCTGGGGAAATTTAAGCACAGATGATTAATACACAGTGGACTAGCTGAGCTGCTATTCCTCCAGAAAAGCTGCCTTGTAATAAGTCATTTAGATAAGAGCAGCAAGACACTCTGTCTTGGAAGTGCCATGGTTTGGGTTCACCATGGCCATAGGAAATGTGAAGGGGAGCTTTCTTGGCAGGACAGGCAAAATGCAGCTTTCCCACTGTGGATGAGACTCGGCAAAGACTGCAGAGGTAAGGCTGTGTAAAGCTGTTCTGCTCTATAGATCTGGTCCTGCAAAAAAAATAGTCTCCATACACATCACCCTCTTGGTATAATCTCCCTTTCAGAAAGTAAAGAGGGGACCTGCATCTCAAATGATTGTAAAAAAAAAAAAGTGTAAAAACAGATCTATCATGTGGAAATTCTACCTCTATCTACTGGGGAAAACTAAACTAAACACAGGTGAAAGAAAAATTATTTCCATCTTCCCTGAGATTGGTAGGTAAGTATTAAAAGGCATTTTCTCTCCTCTTAGCTAACTTTTGCTAAAAGAGAGGAATTCCAAAATCTTGCCCACCACATAGTTCTGTGTAGGTCAATAGTGGCAATAGTGAGTAAAGCCAAATTCCTTTGACTAATTCAAACATCCCTGGAAAAGAGATGGGGAAATGTACAGAGCAAATGAGGTACAAGAAATTGGGAAGAGGTAATTTTCTCTTTTTGTGACAAAGAGGAGTTTTATAAAGGGCTCTACAGTTGGTGCTTGTAGCCAGATAAGATTTAATACATATTCTTTCTGACGGTGATGAATTGCATTGTTCAGAAGAGTTCTTTTTCTATACATGCAATACAAAAGTCTTGGAAAGAATATTTTGGCTAAAATGACTGGGGTAGTACTAAAGCTGCAAGGTGGCAGCAGGTCTTCAGAGCTAGTGGTTTGTTGACTTAATATTCCTCTTCCAGGAAAGCCTGTGTGCTGAACCAGACATATCCAGGTATACTTTGTGTTCCTTGCTATGGACTGTGTTTTCTCAGACATGGAGGGGCCATTCTCATGAGTCCCCTTTCCCACCCTTCATCCCACAGAAAATACAGTATGCTAAAATGTGAGATATGTAAGTGATAGCAAACACCAAGATGAAAGATTCATGCTTAAAAATGAATTCTTCTCCTAACTTAGATTCACCAACCTTCTAGTCTGAGTCTACAGCCAGTCTACTGCTGGTGTTCAGCAGTTACTTGAAGATGGTTCTTCTATATAAACAAGTATGTGCATGGATATATGCAGGGAGATATCTACAAACATTTGCAATTCACTGTAGTGGCAGAGGATATAATTCAAATGGCATGAGGGATGTTTGAACTGTTTTGCAGAGAAAAGTGCCGTAATTTCAGCCTCATGTAATTCCTACATCTTTCACGTGCAGTTAATTGTTGTTTAGTAACTCACAATAAGAACCCTTTTAAGAAGCTGTAAAGAAGCTATTTATCTCCTTTATCAGACTAGGTAACAGAAATTAAAGTAGCTTCCATCCCATGAATAAGCAGGGCACCAGTCCATTCTTGGTAGCACAACCCTGAGATGCCTACTTTTCCTCAAGGCCATGCTCCAGTGATTCATCCACAGTGCTCAGTCCATCCTACCTCCCTTCTCTCCCAGAGTCATTAGCCATTCTGCTCTATTGTAGGCACAAAGGAACTTTCCATCCACCTACACTAAAGCTAAAAAAAGCCAACAGAGCCTCTGGGCCGTGTATTTTCTGTACTCAATATACTGATTTGTATAAACATGTATTAGTTTTATCTCCTCTGCCAGCAGATTGCATTGCTTAAAGTTTTTTATATTTATCGTGCTCATGCTGGGAGTGGCTCTGCTCACCTGTGGTATCCCAAACACATCTTGCTTTCCAGGATGGGAAAGGATACAGAGGAGAGCAACTAAGAAGTAAGTGTCACAGGCCCCTTCCACTAATTGAACGTTGGATTAAAGGGAGAATGCCCAACCTGCTGAAATGGAGACAGGAAAAGAAGTTTTCCTTCCATCACCCTGTGCTGAGCTCTGTAAGGGAAAAGATCTCAGTGCCTACTGACAGAGTTCTGTCTCATCTTGACCTTCCCTCTGTATGCAGATTATTTTTCTTTAGACTTAAACAGTGAGTGAAGGTGAGAAGGGTAAATGAAGAAGAAAAAAAGAAGACAAGCAAAAAAAAAAATTGAGTTTTATTATTCTTGCTCCTGGGCTTTGTCTATTATTCTTGAATCACCTTGGGATTAAGTCTCTTTAGAGATATGAAGAATATCTTCCTCAGACATAATTTAATAATTTTCCCTTTTCTGTTAGATTAGTAAATTCCCCCCACATACCTCCCTCTGAAAAGCAGATCACTCTGAAATACATCACCTGGGTTAATACTTTATTTTCAGCTGCACTGCTCATGCTTGGGTACTCTTGGTTCCCACTCTTCACAAGTTTGTGGTTATCCAGGAATATTAAAACATAAATGTGAAAGCCTTTTACATCAGCATTGTAGTCCTGATAGCTTAGGATATTAAAAACCTCCATTTTATTTACCTGCTTCTCTCTTTTTTCCTCAAGTTGTTTACACCATTCTTTTTCTACAATAAACTTGTGTAGCAAAGATTAATCTGAAAGACTTCTTCATCAAGCATAGCCTTTCACCATAAGCACATCCAGTTAGAGCTGTGGTGCCCCTCTGGTTGTTTGATTGCCCATCTCTGAAAGTTTGTAGCCACTTCACTCAGCTTTAGCAAGGACAAAGTTGACAGAAGGCCCTTCAAGACCCTGTTCTTCTTCTGCTGGCTTGCAAGGTAGTTCTGAGCTATTATTTCTCTAAGAAGTAAAAGCTTTTATTTTGTCTCATTATTATAGTCATTCAAGAAGGAAAATAAACCAGAGGGTGTCTATCTGTGTCAGCAAAGAAACATCCCTCTGATTAGTAAGAAACTCATTCATTAATTTCCATTTTGAAACAATGTTTTCATTATCCAATTTTGCTTCTGCCAGCTACAACTAAGTTGAGAAAGATTGAACTGTTTATATGCAACTTAAGATGGATGCCCAAGACATTGCTTTCTTAAATAATTGTTTTGTATTGCTGACTGATTTTCTACTGAAGAGGCAGAGTTATTCGAAACTATGATATTCACACTTTGTCTTCTGTTCAGTTCCAGGAAATTTGTCTCATGAGGATTAGACATGCTGCCATCTGCAATACAGACATTTCTATCAGCGGATATGGCCAGGAAAACCTGCTGTTTGTGAGTAATTTATTTTAAAAATAAGTACTGTGTCTTAAAAGTGAAACAGGAGAGTGACATGTAGCTCTAAAACTAATCTTCTAGTTAAAAGCAGAAAATAACGCACATCAGTGACTATCTGTAAGACAAGTAGCATGGGCATGAAGAAGGATGGGGTTCCACTCCCAACCTAAATGCAACTTTTGAACTTCAGTTCCACAGCAGTGCTCAGACCATTGGCTGGGACCACCAGCTGCTGATTCTCAAATGTCTCCTTGAGGGTCTTCAGCCAAGGTTCCAGCTCCATTCACCTGCACTGGAGTGTGAACCTCCCCTTTGTTCACATGGTAGAGAGAACCCGCAATTGCAAGGGGCCAGGGAAGGGCACACACGCTCAATCTACTAAAATGGGAAGGGCAAGCCAGCATGGGTCAGATTAAAGGTCAGGATCAGACAGTTCCCTTATCCCACAGGAACAACCTGGGCAGGCACTGAAGCATTCACATGTGCCCCTGAAGCAGGCACAGATCTTCTATGACAAACTGCTAACCAAGGGAGTAAACCAGAGATTATAATCAGTAAAGTAATACATGGCTCTTCTGGTTTCTCTCTTAGCACTAGGGTTTTTTGTGCCACCAAGAGACATATAAACTGACATCAACTCCTTAATATACTTGCTCTAATGACAGAGCTTTAGTCACTCCTGGCTGCATCCTTGCTTTAGCTTCAGACGAGTTTGTTACCTTTGTAAATACTGCTTGGGTAGTAATGCATTAGGCACAAACAGTAACTGCCAATTATCATCCTTTCCCACAAACCCACAAAGGGAGGAGAATTTTGTCCCCTCTGTCAGAGACCGGCCACAAAAAGATCACTGTTTCAGTGCTGGCGCAACTGAGAGGGCAACAATTCTGTGGCCAGGAAGCTGGGGGTGGAACTAGAGATGAAATCTCTTATAAAGGCAAGAAAAAATTCAACTACTTATAGTTTGTGAAAATGGTAAGCAAACAGTCCAACACTTAATGCCCTAATTCTACTGATTGAGTCATAAGTCTTAGTGTGACAAATGAATGAAAGCCTTTTTTTGCAGAAATGTCCAGTATCTGGCTGGTCTGAAGGAAACAACCAGAGAGGTGTTTTAAGATTCTTGTTTCATTTTAAGGCAGGGCCAACCTTTTCTCTAAAAATTATGGCTTTTTAATGGGGCACCACTTAACATCTGGCAATTTGTACTTCTAGATCAGAGAATTAATAAATACTGGCACTGAAAACAGAGAAAACATCTTCCCATGCCCATACATCTCCCTGTACTATTGACAAAAGCTTAAGGGCAGTCCATTGTCCACCCTCAGTCAGCGGTCAGAGTGATATTTCTGGAGGCTTGTGCTACACAAAATACATGGAAGAAAAACAATCCTCTTGTCTTAGCTAATGGGAGAACACAATGTAAAGCACTGCCCTGCTTTTTGAGAGCAGGACACATACCATCTGACTCAATTTTCATCTTCCAGATTGTCATTCTTATACATATACACCTACTAGAGCTATTTTTCAGGCCAGGACTCGGAGCAAGCTCAGGGGAGTCTGCTGAGCACAGGCCACAGTGGAGCCATTCAAGGAGCACTGTCCCGCAGTGATATGACATCAACAGGAACTTACCAGGAGAATGTAATCTGGAGGGCACATACATGACACAGTACAGGAGAGAGTTGGGAGAAATTTGTGGGAAATTAGCAGAAGAGAACAATGATTTATTTTCAAAAATAATTTCTTTACAAATAAAAGATCTAATCAAAGAAAGTGCTGAGAAATACTGGCCGCTTGAGCCCAGCAATTACTCTGGGAGAAGACATAAACACTCTGCATTGGCTGAACCTGTTCTTCATCCCCCCCAAAAAACAGAGTTCTGGGGCAGCTCTTTCATTAATATTTCACTGTACAGCTTGCTATGCAACCTGCAGCTTGAGGCCAGTTGTGCTGCCATTCCTGTCCCTAATGGCCTGATTCACTACAGCCCATGTAAATCAGTAAGAAATATTCTCACAGGGAAAATGAGGTCTTGGAGAAGGCTCTGAATACAGCAGATAAATCAGCAGTGATGTTGGCATTGCATAAAGGGCAGGGTGAATAATAATAGCAACAAAGAACTCCCAGCATCCTTAAAATGTGGCAGGGGTTAGGCTTTGCCACCAAGACAGTTGTTCAGGAGAGATTTAAATATTTTGAAGGAAAGCTCAGTAGAGCAATCACGCAGGGAACTACTAAAAGGCTCTGTTTCAGCTGTAGCTCTAAGTGTTGGGCTCTGGCTGAGGATGCTGCCACAGAGCACAGCCTCTTCAGCATTTCACTCATCTCCAAGCATACACATCCAATAGTCCACCACCTTGTTGCATGTGGTTCAACCCATACTGGTGGGCTGTGAAAACTGAAGCCACCTCCTCAGCAGCTTGTAAAAAGGTGCCTCCAGCAACCTGTACTCTGGCCAGCTCTTGCCCCGCTCTCTGGCAACCACCTTGGCCATTTTCAGCTCAGTGAGTGACTACTTCTCCTATGAAAATTCAAGCCTGGTGCTGGAAGCTCCCACCATCCAAACTCACCCTCCACACTCGTGTTGCAGCATGTTTCCAGAACTTCCTTTGCAGATCCAGCCATGTTCCTACTGGCCGCTGTATTCCCAGAAAATTCCCCCTGTATCCCTTCAGGGAAGCCAGAGGGGAATATATTACCATAGCCATCTTCACTGTGCACTGGCTCTTTGGAGTCTGGACAGACTGCAATATTCTCAAATGTCCTTGAATTATTTTTTAATTTCTTCAACAATTAATTCTTGGTCTGTTTCCTGATTCACTGAGTGCTGTACATCTCTTAAGTCATTCATGCTAATGATCATCTCCTCTGGATTTTATAGCTAGTAGTGGTGAAAGATGAAAGCCCAACATTGCCTATTATACTGGGGCTACAGTCAGATATTAAAAGCAAAAAAACCCCTTCAAGATGACATCTGTTGTAGCCAAAGTTCATATATTCCTTCATGAAAATTCAACTACATAAAAAAATGACTTTGCAATAGATGATGATTCACACTTAAATATACAGCTGAAAGCCACTCAAAATTCTCTTTTCACTACTTCCTGCTGTTTTGTGAGTCCAGTGAAAGAAGAACTATGATCAGTGATAATAAATCTCCATTTTCTCACCTTGCCCTTCAGCATTTTATCAGAGATAACAGAAAAATCTGGTGCTCTTTTGACATCACACGAATAGCATTCTGTGGTGCTCTTCTCTCTCCAGCCTGCTTTATTTTTCAGTGCTCACCAAATCTTCACACAAAACTAAAGTTTAGCTGCAAAAAATAAGGATATGGAGGATATGCATGAACACAGAAAGTAGCAACACTGCTGCTGAATGGCCCTTTTTGGAGAAATTGGCCCCTTTACAGTGGTTAGTGAGCAGCTGCTTTTCAGCTGAGATTTATCAGCTAAAGACAAGGTGATACAAAATTTAGCAAAAGCCATGGAGAGATGTGAAAACTGGAGGGCTTCTTTCTGGCCATACGTTGGAAGTGCATGACCCTAGGCATTCACATCCCAGAAAAGGATGTGGTTATGCATGAGAAGCAGACCCATTCCCTGCAGTTCCCACTGGGAATAATCTCCCTGCAGTGAAGGGATGATGCTAGTGAGTGCCAACCAGTAGATGAAAGCAAAGCAGAAGGCCTGAGGCAAGTGCCCAGATTGATGTCTAGCACAGTCTCCTGTATCACTGAACTGCAGAAGTAGGTTAGAAACTTGAGAGATTGTAGCATTTCTGTCCAAAGGACTAAGTGCTTCCTTGGGCAGATGTTGACTTGCAGCTGCTGTTTACCCATTTCTCTTGGTCACTTCAGTCCCATGGTTACTTTGGCTAACATCCAAAGCAAATCTCTGTCTCCTGCTCCACCCATGTCTCTGGCTGAGGTGGAAGCTGAAAAGATATTTGGATCACAGGAGAGGGTTAGGTGCTACTGAAGTCATCACTTGTCTTCCCTTTTGAATGCCTGCTGCAGCAGAGTGAGGTGAAACCATCCTTACATGGACTCACGTCTTCATAAGGTGTTTCTTGGAATTTGCTGTAATTCAGAATGAAGTAATTGCAGTTTTGTGGGGGAAGGTTAGCCTCCTTAGACACCAACAAACCTCCATAGCAGCCATGACTATTGGATTGGGTATGAGTTGGTGGCATATGACAGCAGGTTGTAGGAATGAGATGGGGAGTATCACATTCATGTAGCCATCCTACAGAAACCATGGAAGAGAAAAATTGGGGCTGGGACCCCACAGAAAGGAGAGCCAATGGAGAGAAGAAGGAAAACATAAAAGACGTTGCCCAGAATAATCTAGGACTAAGCTCTGTTTTATGCAACACAAACATCTTGCTTACATTGACAGTCGAAATGGGAGGTTTTGTCTGCTGGAAGCAAAGAGGCAATACCAAATACATCGGGGTTTTTTTCCTAATTACTATGTCATTCAGCTTTCATGTGCCCATGAGTTAAACAGCAGGGCATGATCCTCAGGGAGGATGCGTGATGGGGGTCCTGCAAGGCTCCTGCCCAGGAATATGGTGGTGAGGAAAGTCATGCCAAATATACCACACCAAGCATGGGAAGCAGGATGCCAGCCAGGAACCATGAAAACTACTTTGAAGTTAAGTCCAGGGGGTTTTTGTGCCTTTCTTTCATGTCACAGAGTCTTCTGGCTTCTGAGGTTTTTATGATTGCTCTGATAATTGAATGATTCCCAGTGGAAATAAAAATGTTATTTACAAAAATTCTTTTTAAAAAAAAGTGACAATTAACTGCCAGATTTTTTTCTACATCATACACTGCAATCACAACTATCAGAGCACTGATTAAAACCAAAGGTCACCCCTGCAGATACATGGGGAAAATTACTCGAGGTCTCTCGCAAATTGCAATTTCGCAAGCTGGCAACCCACCAAAGCACCCCAGCTCAGGTCTGGCCAATAAAAGCACA